GAGAGAGGGAGTTGGAATGGGACTCTAGTAAAGAGGAGAGGGTTGCCACGTGGCTACATGGAAGGTTGGGAAGGGGTAAGGGAGAAAGGAGAGAGGTTTAAGGAGAGAAGAGAGAAGGGGGAATGGGAGAAGAAGAAGGATGCTGAGGTGGGACCTAATCACTTTATAATATAGTATAAATGTGGGTGTAGACAAAAAAAATGTGGGAGTTGTGCTAAGCAGGCCGTTAAGATACCATAGAGACATAGTAACGAAAAAACTTGTAACCAATCAACTGGCATCACAAAAGTGGTAACCAATCAGATGGATTTTCATCAAAATTTACACAGGGGTGGGGCCAGAGTGTTGATTAGTCAAAGTCTTTCTGGTATTATGTCTTTCCACATCATAGATTTTCCCTTGTGGGGTCCTATTATTCCCTCTATTATGATACTAGCAAGATATGGTACCAGAAGAACTTGCAAATAAGGGTGTCAATTGAATTGGATTTGGTCCAATCCAATCCAGTCTAAGGTGAGTCCGTTATAAATGGACCAGGTGCAATCCAATTGAATGAATATTGTGGATTATTTTGGACCAGTCCAATTCAATGTCTCGATCGTCCAATCTATTCAAATTTGCTTTAATTTAGATTAATTCTAACCCAAACCTGGTCAATTGACACCGAATATATATATATATATATATATCAATAGACCAAATATTGGCTCAACCCAATCCAATAAATACTTTGGATCATTAAGTTTGGATTGGCCCAATTCATTATGTCTTGTTGGTCCGTCCTATCCATCCAAATTGATTTTGGTTTGGACAGGGTCCAATCCAAAATTGGTCCATTGACACCCCTACTTATAATCAATCAACCAGTATCATAAAAAATGGTATTCAATGATCAATTAGGTGTTTTTTTAATTGTTGAAAACAATGTAGTAGTTGCTTTTCCTTTTAAAAACCATGATACCAAAAAACATGATAATGGAAAAACTTATAACCAATCAACTGGAATCATAAAAAAGTGGTAACATTCTCACATTTAACAACTAATAATTTACCATTTTACCAAGCAATGGCCTCTTATTTTTGGTAAATTTGTCTTAAAAAATGGTCTTAAACAAGGCCTAGTCCTTTTTTTATAAAATTGTAGGAAGTATTCATGATGTGTTTTAGATTTACCCTTTATGATGATTAATTCATTCTAATTAAAAGCATGTAGGGAAATGTTTAAGCTGCTATAAATGATTAATTCATTCCTATAGTGATTTGATTAAGAATTATATTTGATATCTCATTTACTTTATATCATCTAACAATTTATATGTTATGATTTATAGGTTAAACTATTATGTCAAGTGGATTTGCATTGGAAGAAGTGTTACATTATTCAAGAAGACTTTTTTAAATGCCTTGTACTCTTGTATATGTCAATTGGATATTGTATTTAAGCAATTTGTTTTGGATATTATAATAATTAATAATTATTATTTTTTATTTTTATTTGCATATTTTATTTAAATTGGTTTTTATGTATTATCTGCCATGATATTTGTATTAAACAGGTACCAGAAATGCTAAAATCAAATTCATATAAATAATTAAAAATAGAAAAAACAAAGGCGGTGGTCATACATTTGTTGCCTTAGATATAAAAGAAATCTAAGCTGACGGTCCAGACCGCCACTTATAAAACAAAAGAAACATGTTAACCGACCTAAGGTGGCGGTCTAAAGTGATCTAAGCTGGCGGTCCAGACCACCACCTAAAGGAAGAAACATGTTAACTGACTTGAGGCGGCGGTCTAAAGAGATCTAAGCCGATGGTCCAGACCGCCACCTAAAATGAAAGAAACATGTTAACCGACCTAAGGTGGCGATCTAAAGAGATCTAAGCTGGTGGTCCAGACTGCCACCTTTATTAACTATGAGCCGGTGGTTCTGATATACCGCCGCTTTAGGGACGATTGAACTGCGTCGAACCAGCCTTCAAGGGCGGCGGTCTTTTATGTCTAAACTGGCGGTCATGCGACTGCCGACTTAGACTGATTTTCTTGTAGATAAATGGTATTTTTTCCATTCCACTATGATAGCTGAAAGACATGATATGGAAAAAACTTATAACCAATCAACTAGTCCCACTTTTAACGAATCACGTGGTTATTTGTCAAGTTAATTGGGGGTGGGGGTTGATTGGTCAAAGCCCCTCTGATATTATGTCTTTTTGACACACCTTTAGTGTTTAGTGTATTGTAGGTGAGGTACTCGTGAAATTTCTTCTCCCTTCCTTTTTAGGCTCTAAGAAATAGAATAGTTCCAATTCAGGCGTATGATCCGTTTAGGTGATTTATTGCCAATAATATGTATCTCTTTCTGGTGGTGCAGTAGCTGGTGAAGTTTAGGGGGTCTCAAATCCATACCTTTAAAATCTAAAAACAAAAGGATATGAAGATGTTTAGTTTCATAGGTGGATACAACATGCTTAGTTCTAGTTCAAGTTCATAACACCTTAGGACACATTTTGCTACAAAATCATGCTGTTTAGGTTAAAGAATGCTAGCACCACTTATCATCGGGCAATGACAGCTCCATTTCATGATCTGATGCACAAAGAAGCCGAAGTGTATGTTGCTGACATAATTGTCCATCTGGCAAGTTATGAGGATGAATCCTAAGTCAGAGGGAGGGATCAACAGAGACCCGGCAAAAGCAAAGACCGATATATAGTTTCTTTGTCATTGTCATTTGGCTAAATGCAGTAGTTGGTGGTCAATCCACCACATCATATCATATACCAAGTGGATGGTTAAAATCTAACATATCACATGTAGGGTTGCAATTGGTTCAAATGAAATCGAATCTCAAAAAGTGTTTGCATCCAGGGTCTGATCCAATAGGAATCCAAGAAATCTGAATTTGATTTGATATCTGATGAACATATGCAGGCAAAATTTATGGTGTAGGTGTAGCACTTGGATTTTCTATTCACTCTTTACCCATCTCGAATTAGAGCCACATCTCTATTATGAATTGAGAGATATGTGGCTGCAATTTACGATGGGTAGGAAAAGTGAATAGATAATCCGGGCTCATAGGTGTAGCAGCTGCCATATGAAACTTCTTGCAGCGTTTGCCTTTTAATGAAGTTTTCAATTAAAAAAAGGGTACACTATTAAACAAAAAACGTGAATCAATAATAAAATAAGATGATATAAATAAATTCAAGGTTTTTAAAATAAGATCGGACACGAAACCATTTTGGGGATCGATTTTTGGATCAAATGGTCTGACCATTTGGTTTGAATGAAATAATCGTTTTGATTTAAAAAATAAAAAATAATTAAAAACCATTGTCTAAGTCGACAGTCTGACTGCCTGGATCAACAATTCGCGGAGGAAAGTTGCCTGACTGGTTACTGGATCAACGGGTGCGACCGTCAAATCCCGTCCAATTTTCAAAACCATGAGTAACTCCTTGAACGCGATTAACATAGTTTTGAACTCAATTTATCTATACATTTGAATATCCAAATCAAGTCAAAACTCCATATATCTGTACAAAATTAGCAAAAAGAATTGGTTTATACATTTGAATTTATTTAATTCTAAAAGATTGGATACTTTCCTTAATATATTGATGAAACTAAACCAAATTTAATTATATAATATAAACTTGTATCTTTATCTTTTATTTATATTTTCAAATCTAATCCTATTATGATTAAACCGGGTATCCAAAACCAAAAGTCCAATCCATTTTCACTCATTCTCAAACTCATATTCATCTCATTATTTTAATCCTAGCTAACCCAAAAGCACGAAAAATCCAACAGAATACCGCCCAAGATTAGGTTGAATTAGTTGTGTGGGGTTGAGCCGCACCTGCAACAGCCATTTGGCTACTTCAGACCGTCCGTGACACCTTATGTTGCAGCTAACCCTCCGTCCACGTCATTTTTTTTTTTTTTTTTTTTAAATAGTTTTTCTATGATTTAGAGCAAGGTGCAATATCAGGACAAGAAGGAAGAAGAGAAGCTTCATTCCTCCGCGTTGCTAGTTGGACTGTTGAAGCCTTCGGCTACCGTCATCAGTTGCAATTTATTCAGACAATAGAAAATGTAAATTACGGAATACTCCCCCTACTCTGGAGTAATGACAATTATTACCTTAAATTTTCATTTTTGACAAAGAACCACTCAGCTTTTTTGAGTCCCACAAAGACCATTCTGTTAGTATTTCTTTAGTTAATTTTGAAAAAGATTATTTTAAATTTTTAAATCTCCAAGCTTTTCCAATGATTTTTAATGTTTTTTCGATTTCTATTTGTTTTTGGTATAACTGGGTAAAATATAAAAACCTCTCCTAAAGTTTCTACAATTATAAAAATCTCTCCTATAATTTCATTTTAACAAATATCTTCTCTATTTTTTTTAGAAATTCGACAAAAAACTCCTCTTCTGTCAATCGTTCCAGATGGAAAATGTTATACTGATGCCCTAGTTTTTTCAAACATCCATTTTACTTTTTATAAATTATTTTACATAAAAAACTACTGAAATAATCTCATTTTAACTCAACAAAAACCTTTTTAATGATTATTTTAATAATTTTACATACAAAAAGTTCAGGGAGGTATTTGTTAAAATGAAACCATAGAGAAGATTTTTATAATTGTCAAAAACTTTAAGAGAGATTTTTGTATTTTATCCTTGATATTAATTGAATGTTTTATTTGTTGCAATTCTAGATTTTCATAAAAATTTATTGGTTTTTTGGTTATAATTTTCACTTGAAGAGGGGGATTATTATAGAAATCTGAATGTACAGGGGTACTTGTCAGAAATGAAATTTGAGTGGAGTAATTCTAAGAAGTACGGGTAGTAATCTGTAATTTATTCAAAAAAAAAAAGAAAATAAAAAAGAAAAGAGTGAATGAGTGAAGGACATTTTGGTAATAAAAGGTCATCGAGCGGGCAATTTGGATAAGAGAAAGGAAGACGGGAGGAAAAGGAGACGAACAGGTCGGTCCGGTGGTTCGAGTCAAGCAAAACTACTAAAGAATGGCGAGTGGGCGGGCGATATTTCGTCGTTGCGTTTTCATTATCACGTCCAGAAGCCAGAAGGAAAAGGAAAAGGAAAAGATCAGTCCGTCTTCCTCCTCTCCTATTTTCTGCTTCTCTTTCCTAATTTAATGCCTCGGAGTCCTGGCATTTAAGGACGGTTTTCGTCGCCTTGTTTCGTTTTCTGTTGGTCTCGACTAGGGTTAGGGTTAGTGTTTAAGTTTTCGGGCTAGATCCTCAGACCTCAGTTCTCTTTCTTTATTATCCATCTTCTTCTGCTCGTGCTGCTTCAACAGCTGCTGCAGTGACAGGAGAATGAAAGAGTCGAACGTGGATCTTTTCGATCCTCGAACAATCATGGATTCCGATTTCTCTTCCAGCGGCAACGGGGTTTCTTCTGACGGAGATTTTGCCTTCGCTTTCAACGACAGCAATTTCTCCGATCGTCTTCTTCGCATCGAAATCATGGCTGGCTTGCCGGAGAACAAGTCTGACGGTGAGGGCTGCAACAGCATCGCTGACTGGGCTCGCAATCGGAAACGCAGGAGGGAGGATATCAAGAAGGAAGCTGGTTGGTTTTTTCCTCCCGCTTTTCTGTGTTTTTCCCTCATTTTTGTCATATTTTGAACTTTGTTATTCGTTGACCTTGGTGTGTTAGGATTTGACATGTTGATTCGTTCCTTGTATATTATCTTAATGATGCGGTTAAACATGTGATTTTGCGGTGAAATTTGGCTTGGGATTTTATTTTTGTCGCCAATTTTGCTTGAACTTGGCGTAAATGGCTACAAGCTTAAATTATATTGCATTTAACCGAATATCTTCATTAAATTCAAGGTGCCTCGTTCTCTTCTACAAATATTTTAGGGGATAAAAATCCCTTGATTAATAGTGACTTCCATCTGGGATTCGAAAGATGAGGACACAATCGATGTCGTCAGTACCTGATAAAATGCGAAATCGATGATCTATTTTTTGGATAGATAGTAAGTAGGTGTTTGTTGATTGTTGTACTTTCGGCATAATACAAGCAATCCAGACCTAGATATGCGTGAAGTGATACTGTAATTGCACAAATAGGCACGACCTGTGCTGATTCTCATTTGGATTGAAGATTCAATTGATTAAGGTTGAGCTTGATATTTGTTCTGCATTTCTCTCCTCCCTTCAAATTTCTTTTTTTCTTTCAAAATTTTATACTTGAGTAATTTGCCATAAGGTATCTTTTGATGTTATACAAATGTACGTTAATTAACAATACAAAAGGGTATTTCTCTGTTTGTGGGCAGTGAGCTTGGGCAATTATTTCATTATTTTTATTGGTTGAATGTGATGTTGGAGTTCAGCATCATCTTGGTGCTTCACTACGAAGTTTTCTCATTATAGTCTTTTTTTTTCCAATTCGGAACATTGTAGTCTTCTCAACTTCTATACCATGAAATAAGATTTCCTTTCCCACCCACTTGCCTATTTGCAGTGATCTCAACTGAAATGTTTGGGTATGGTGGGTAGTGGATCATTATTACTTATTTTTCCCAAGGAAAAGGCAAAATTTTCTACTTTAACCTAGTGAAAGATGGCATCCAAACTTCACACCTTGCAGTTCATTCCTCAGTTCTTGGACAACTTATGTGTCTCCCTTTTGTTGTCACTTCTGAGCTTCTTTTAAATACGTGTGAAAATGTTTCAACTGATTATAGTACCGTTTTCCTTATGTATTTAGCTACAGATTTTACCTTGTGCCGTGAGGAGCAGATTTTGAATTGTGGACAGCCTGATACTGAGGATGGAGTGGCTTATGAAAACCAGGATGAGGAACCAGTGGCTATGATTGAGGAGTCACCTTCAGGTGCTGAAATTCTTTTGTTTTTTTCTACATTTTGTCTATTTCATATTCTTTTATTAGCAATTATTAATAGGTGGTTCATATGTGGTCATGGATGCTATTCTTTTGGAGGGAAGCGTATCAATCAGTTTGCCTATTGACTATTGCATGCTTGACATAGTTATGTCCTATTCTTAACCATGAAACCACATTTTAGATGTCTGTTTCAGTTAGCTGAAACTTCTTTTAGAGGATGAGCGAAAGGTTGCAACTTTGCCTCATAAGTCAGCCTAGACAGCATAGTTTTCAAGGCACCATGTTGCCTCATAAGTGAGCCTAGATCTCAGTACTTAATATACCGTGAGGTTTGAAATTTTAGCATTTTTTTGCCATGCATCGAAAAGGCATTCGCCTCACCATGTGCCTCAGGTGCAAAAGGAGGGATATACCCTGAGGTTTGAGGAAACTACTTATATATACCCTGAAAAAGGGAGGAAGGGTAAAAATGGCATGGAAAAGAAAAAGAGAGGAAGTGAAGAAGATGACGGTAAAAATGGGATTATGGAAAAAATTAATGGGTATAAGAAACAGCCATAAATGTTTTGTGGGGTCATCTTACAAGGTATATATAAGTCAGCTTGAAACTAAAGGGTATATATAACTAGTATCCTTTAATCTCAGGGTATATAATTAATTATCCTTTTTTAATAAAAAATCTGGAAACCTAGGGTAATTCCCTAGGTTCCATCTCACCAGCAATCTTCATAAAATGGTATATATATTTCATATTAAAACATAGAAAATCAATATATTTTTTTGGTTGGTAACAGGTAATTTTATTTATTTGAAAGGAGAATTGGATATATTTACAAGAATGACAAAGTATCAAGCACCCCAATCACCCCAAAGTGGTGATTTATGCCCCTTTGTCCACCCCTAAGAATGTTTGAAATCATGTTATAATTAAGATTCATCATAGAAAATCATATTCATGAGAAGAAAAAGGAAAAAAAAGAGAAGTCAGAGACCCTGTTTTTGTCCTAGGAAAAGAAGAAAAGTAAGGGTGGATAAAATTTTAAGGTCTTTCTTGCTTATCGGTTCAGGTTTTGAAGTCTTCGTTCAAGACAGTATTCACCAACATGTGTGTTGATTGAACCCTAACAAAGAAGAAAATCATAAAAGAAATTAGTATATGAACTGACAAATGAAAATTTTAGTTTAATAATGTCTTTTATTATTAAAATCTCAAAAAATAAAGAATTTATAAATATTTCATAGTGTCATGTATGAAATAGCTAGGTGTTTAAGTGAGGTGATCCTCCATAGGTGCCTTGTTGCTTAGGTGTTGCCTTGACAACCATGACACTTTTTTTTTGAAGAGGTAATTTATAATGTATTTTTAAACATCCATAAAAATCCTCTATTTAATCAAAGTACATCATACATGCAATAAATTCTCTTTGCTATTTTATTATTTTTTTATCATTGATAGAATTCTCCGTTAAAAGGTAGATAAGGAGTATCTTTTCATGTACCTCTTTTTTCTTTATTAATGAATATCAGCCGCTTTGTCTAAAAAAAGATAGATAAGGAGTAAACACAAGGCTACAAGATAAAGTTAAAATAATGAATTTCTAATAGACCAATCCCATAAAATCGTAACGGAATAGAGAAGGTTTGATTCTTAATCCCAAAGATATTGCCTCTCTACTGTAATTGTAATGACATTAACCCTCATGGGCTAGGCGATAATCTCTCTTCTCTCATTCAGAGTATCACAATTTTACAATCTGTAAAATTGCCTCAATGTAATCCGCGTGTACCCTCTAGTGAGCATTTTGATCCCTCGACTCCTTGAGAAAGGGAACAGAGTGTTTTTTAGTTTTTTTGATGAATGAAAGGGAAGGGGAAGGGAATGAAGCTTTGTTTTCAAAGAATATCCAACAGTCAGGTTCATACCACATAATCTCTCATCTCTCATCTAAATTATTACAATAATATAATCTGTAAAATTTCTTCAATCTAATCCTCTTAGGCCCTTCAGAGAGCATTTTGATTCCTCGAAAAAGGGAATGAAGCTTTGTTTCCAAAGAATATCCAATGGTCAGAGACTTCAGACCTTTGAAGAAGAACAAGGTTGTATTCATTACTTAATGCAATCCCATCACAGAGAGGGAGTACCTTACACCATGATCTATCTCTCATTTGAATGATGAATCACTTGTGAACTCACTACTTACCTCTCTTCTTGCAAGAGAATCTGCAAGATCATTTGTTGAACTTAGAGGGGCTAAGGCTTTAGCTCCTATCCTGAACATTTTTATCAGGTGGGTTCCCAGGTTAGCCGGTGCCCTAGCTGATATACTGGCAAGGGATGCAGTGAGGTGCAACTTAAATTGGGATACCAAGTCCAGAATGCCTTCAAAAGATATTATTTTGGTTTGGAAGTTAACAAATCATTTGGTATTCTTCTAACAGCTTCTGAGGATTGAATTTGTTTAATAGGCCTCTTGTATTCACTAAAAATTTAATACAACTAATTGCTCCAATTGATCAAAAAAAAAAAATCAGTCACCTACTGGGAAGAACTTCTATCAATCTTCATCTTTCCATTTAAAAGATCATGATGTTTAATAGTGCTGGTGTGTTTCCATTACAAATTAGTGAATATTTCTCATACTAAAATGAAAACTGCTGCTTACTGATGTAGGTGATGAGGCTGCCCATAGTAATGAATCATCATGGAGCATGGACTGTTCTACAGTTTTGAGAGTTAGGACGATTCATATCAGCTCTCCGATTTTGGCTGCAAAAAGTCCATTCTTTTATAAGGTAAAGAACTTATTTTTCTTTATTCTTGTGTTTGGGATATTTTTATGGTTGTGATAAATGTGGCTTTTGTCCTCGTTAAGGGCGGGGTGTTACTTGGCAGACCTAGTAGGTGTTTGGTGCTGTGGTGTTTTAAGTCTCATTGTATAGCACTAGAAATTGGGATAATAAGGTTAGTTGTTCAGCACATAGACAATGCATAATTGTTTGTCGTAGTTTTAAACCCATAAATGCCACTAGGTGCCACATAGACAATGCATAAGACTCTCTTGCTAAGCAAGGAGTGACAACACCTGTTTTGGGCTTCTATGTAACCTGGGTATAAGAAAAGGGTTTGTCTACTTTATATTCATGTTGTACTAAGCCGCACTGTCACTATTTTCTATTTAATGAATTAAAATTAATTTCTGCTGATAGAAAAAGGATAACCAAATTGTAAACTCCCCCTGTTGTGGGAAACATCAATAAGGCATTTCCCCCAACACCAATGCACATTGTATTAACGTTTGAGTTAAACCTCCCCAACCAAACAAGGTTTTGGTAAAACTAAGATAAAATGCTTATAATGGGAATTGGAATCAGCAGGAATGAGATATCATTCCCAAGGGAAGGGCAGGGAAAGGCCATTCCCTCAAATGGGGGAATGCCATTCCAGCAGGAATGGGAATGGGGTTCCAATTCTGCCCAGCCAAACAGTTGGAATCGGAATAGCCCATTCCAATTCCTATTCAAGACCCCTATTCCTGCGAACCAAACGGGGCCTCAGTATTTACATTTTTGTTCCTCATTTGAATGTAAACAGAGTCCAAATTGATTTTCTTCCATTCAGTATTTACTTTTTATTTCCTGATTATTACAATGTAAACAGCCCAAATTTATTTTCTTCCATTTTCTTGAATAAATTGCTAGTTGACCACCTGTTTTCTTATTCATTTTGCAGCTTTTCTCAAATGGGATGAGGGAGTCAGAACAGCGACACGTAACATTGAGAATCAATGCCTCTGGTGGGTTCAAATGAACTTCTTGCTGTGTCGCTTGAATTCACACAATTAGATAAAAGTACCTTACCATATTTTCCTTTTGTTTTCCTGGACAGAGGAAGCTGCCCTCATGGAGCTTTTAAATTTCATGTACAGCAATACCCTGTCAACAACCACAGCTCCAGCCTTATTGGATGTGCTGATGGCTGCTGACAAATTTGAGGTTGCTTCATGCATGAGGTACTGCAGCCGGTTACTGCGGAAGTTGCCCATGACACCTGAATCAGCTTTGCTCTATTTGGAGCTTCCTTCCAGTGTTTTAATGGCTGAAGCAGTTCAGCCGCTGACTGATGCAGCCAAGCAGTACCTTGCTGCACGTTACAAGGATATAACCAAGTGAGTCCTTACATGTGAATTTGGTATTTTATGCACTTGAAGTTTTAGTGGGTGAGAATTGTGGTTTTTTTAATGATAATAATTCTTCCTCTACAGAAACATGCTGCTCTATGACACATTTGCTTCTTATGTTCTGCCTTTTTTTATCATTTTATGTTCCATCCTTTTTGGAACCTTATTATTTCTAGACCCTTTCTTGTGTAGTTCAAGATCTTTGGTAGGTTGCATTCTACTTGTATGCTTGTTGAAAGAAAGTTCTCGTCATGCTTTTCTTTACATTAATTGGTTGGAGTAGATCCGCATCCTGTCTCAGCTTCCTATTATAATCCTTCTCTTGAAAGATAGAGTTCATCTCCTCCAAAGCTAACTTATAATTATCTCAGTTTTTACTATCCAGAGCTGGATAAACTGCATTTTGCCTTCGGGTTGTCTAAAAGCAAATCAATTTTATCTAACGTATTCTCTATTTTGACGAGATGATGCACCTGTTTCTTTCCATATGGAATGCATGTCAAGTTATGTGGGACAATTTTTAAAATTGTCCCTGGCATATGACACCGGATTACCTTGATCATGTTTGCCCTGTAGTTGTGAATTATCTGGAAAATAAATATATATTGTTTTGCTACCGTTAGATGGATGTGTTGATTTTTTTTTCCCATCAATGACCAGGTTCCAAGAAGAGGTGCTGAACTTGCCTCTAGCAGGAATTGAGGCGGTGTTATCCAGTGATGATCTACAGGTGGCATCAGAAGATGCTGTTTATGACTTTGTGCTCAAATGGGCACGGACCCATTACCCAAAGCTGGAGGATCGGCGAGAGATTCTTGGTTCGCGTCTCTTCAGACTTGTTCGCTTCCCGTACATGACCTGTCGAAAGCTGAAGAAGGTTCTCACCTGCAATGATTTTGACCATGAGTTGGCATCCAAGGTTGTGCTCGAGGCCCTCTTCTTCAAGGCTGAGGCACCGCACAGGCAGCGCAGTCTCGCTGCTGAGGAATCAGCTGCCACAAATCATCGATTTATTGAGAGGGCCTACAAGTACCGTCCTGTTAAGGTGGTGGAGTTTGAGCTGCCACGGCAACAGTGTGTGGTGTATCTGGACCTGAAGCGGGAGGAGTGTTTAAACTTGTTTCCATCAGGGAGGGTATATTCACAGGCCTTCCACTTGGGTGGACAGGGGTTCTTCCTGTCTGCCCACTGCAACATGGACCAGCAGAGCTCGTTCCATTGCTTTGGGCTATTTTTGGGAATGCAGGAGAAAGGGTCAGTGAGCTTTGCAGTGGACTATGAGTTTGCAGCAAGATCAAAGCCCACAGAAGAGTACGTTAGTAAATACAAAGGCAATTATACCTTCACAGGGGGGAAGGCAGTTGGTTACAGGAACCTGTTTGCTATTCCATGGACGTCTTTTGTGGCTGAGGACAGCCTTTACTTCATCAATGGCATCCTTCATCTCAGGGCCGAGCTCACCATCAAACACTAACTCTGGCAACCAGATCATAGAGTTCATAGGCTTACTATTATCATTAGGCGCAGTGAAAATGTGAGGCAGGGAGGGGATAAATCATAAATGTATAATGGGAGTAAGGCAAGGTGAGTGACTGGATGAATAGTGAACTTACTCAATTCCCGCTTGAATTAAAGACTTTTAAGAAGGGAATTTGAGAAATATGGGGCTCATATTCATGTCGTATCTCCTGTATGATTTTCCCCCAACTTTTTAATTGATGGAATGGATAGATTTCTGTCCTGTGATTGTGGTGATGGGATGGCTGTAAATTCTTGGTAGTTAATATAATTCAAATCAAGGTTCTCCAAGGATCAGCATGGTAAAGCTTACGCGGTAAGGCAATTTTATAATGTAGTTTTATGCTTTTAAGGTATTCATTCATGCATTTGTAGAAATTGTATTAATCCAATTAGTTCTAATCGGTATAAGCAAAGGTTTCCATACATTTGGTATCTATCATTGCCAATTTGTGAGAATTCGATGCCATGCCACATGCATCATTGATGAATTTTCTGTTTGGATGTCAGAAATCCGGCTTATCACTCAAAAAATGATTATTAAAATGGGGCCTAAAAGAAGAATTACCATTTTTGATATTCCTCTTTTCAAGACGATTCTGATTTTTTTTGGATGATGTGGCATCTGATATGTACAAGGGGCGAGGTTTTTCTATAAAATAAAATCGCCGTTGATAATCACTTCCAAACTAAGTCATGTCAATTTCTTAATCTCAGAAATCAGATGATACAGCGTCAATGGGTATCAAACAAACAATTTCTTTGATTTTTGAGAAATCAGTGATTTATCAGAAATCTCATCGGATGAATCAACTATCAAACGTCACCTTAGGGGTGTCACAATGTAAATGTTTTTGTTTTCACTTGTTTTCAAAATTGCCATATCAGCAAAGAAAGAAGGAAAAACAAAACAGACACATGTTTTAACTTGGATTTTGTCTTGAAAAGATAAAACAGATATTGTTTTATTTCAAATAGTTGATTATGTTTTGAAACTATCAAAAATATGTTTTTCTAAAACCCAAAACGAAAACAGATTTTCAATCTTCGAACTTTTGAATATGGCGTATGGCAAAGCAACCCTGTCTCTTCATTTGTTTGTAGTTAGTTCTATTAAAATGGATGAAACGGAGTTCAATAGATACTGATATTATTGTATATGTGAGGGGAAAAAAGGGTCATAAAGTATAAACCGTTGGAAAGAAGGGCTCAAATCTGAATTTGGGTTAGAGTTGATTATTGATGTCCATATACCTAATACCCCCTTACCCCTAGACTAAGCATAAGCCCATTTTAGAAGAAAAAAATGAAAAGGAAAACTAATATCCATTGTACTAGAATTTATAATTTATGGATAAATATTATATGATTCATGAAACATGATCTCAAATCATTAACGGAAAACATGTTTTTGAAATGAAAAAAAAAATTCAAAAACATGTTTTTGGTTTCAAGTTTGAAAACAAAAATACATACATAATAAAGAATGTTTTTTTCTGTGTTTTTGAAACTAGCATCAAGATTGAAGAATACCCCTTTTCTGTGTTTAGAATATGATCCCTGACAACATGATGGAATTTTGAAGAAAATGGTTTGACCAAATACATTGGAATGATTGTTGTATTGGCTACTGCTCTACTTCTTGATGTTACATACAGTTATGAGCAGGGGTGTCAGTTGGACCGCATTTAGTCCAATCCGATTTCAGTCCAATATGTCCATTACAAATGGACCAGGTACAATTCAATCCAATGAATAATTTGAACTATTTTGGACTGGTCTAATTCAATGTTTTGACAGTCTAATCTGTTCAAAGTGCTTTTAATTTAGATTTGTTCTAATTCAAATTTGGTCCATTGGCACCCATATTCTTATCTTCTATCAATGAACTGAATATTGGTTCAATCTGATCCAATCCAATATAAATTTATTACGGATGGACCAGGTCCAATTCAATCCAGTCTAATAAATACTTTGGACCATTAAGTCTGAACTGGTCCAATTTAATATGTTTTGTTGGCCCATCCAGTGTGTCCAAATTGATTTTGATTTGGATGGGGTCCAACCCAAAACTAGTCTGTTGACACCTCTATTTATGAGGATGCTGAAACAGAACAAGAAAAATGTTTAATGGGTTTAACAACAGACATTTGGCGACCTTCTCTGTTCATTCCTTGCACGAACTTGAGAGAAGAGTTAGGGAGTTCTTCCTCTAGGGAGAACCGAATCACAAGAGATCAGAAGGTTACATCATAGCTCTAAAGCGGGGCTCTTACTTCCTACAAACTAATAAAAATTGGTAGAAATCAGATGTTTGAACTTCATCCACATCTAAACCTTGTCCCAACTACATGGGGTTAGCTACATAAATCCTGTTTCGCCATTTGGTTCTGGTCTATGCCATATCCATTGTTAAACTGTAGGCGCTTATATCATTTGTTACTACTTCCACCCAAGTTTTTTCAGTTTACTTCTAATTCTACTAAACCTTTCAACTTATAATAGATCATTTCTAATGGGTGCTGTGGATGGTCCTCTATGCACATGACCACACCAACTTAGTCTACTTATTCTCATTTATCCATCTAAGCATTTGCATTTACCTCACACTCATTATGAGGCTACTGTTTTGTTGGTCTCATCAGATCATTTGAATGATATAATGGTTTCCCATTATATCATTTGTACTTGTAAATATCAATATAATATTCTGATGATAACATGGTGATTTATGTTAAAACAATCATACTAATAGGGCTCTTAGATTTCAGAAGGTAATAAAATGACTTGGATGTTTGGTGTTTTAAAGTAAGAGGAAGAACCAAACTAGTGAAATTTGGGACTTCCAGTGCATCAGATATGATCCGATTTGATTCGAAATCCGATCCGTTAGTGTTACAAGTTAAACTCAAATCATTAAAAGAGGACTTGTTTATTAATCGGATCGAATGCTGGCCACAGGTTAAACCTTGGGAACTTGTTTGGTGCAACTTGCAGCATGCAGTACTTCTGTTCAAGATTTTTAAAGAAAAATTTCATTATTGAGATATTCACTATAATTAAATTCAGATCTTAATCTCACAAATACGTTGGTTTCTTATCAAATTTGAATCTATTGAATAATCTTATCAAACCGAATTTGAATATACTTCCATTTGAAGCCATCGTGATGCAACATTGCAACCCTCTTTTATGAGCAAGTCCGGATCATCTACCAACAAAATAAGTTCTAACACCCTACCAACAACATCTGACACAGCACATCTCATGTTTGGAGGGGTCCATTTTTATGGTGGGCTCCAATTTTATAACGAGGTGTGCAATGTAAGTTGAAGTTGGTAGGGTGTTGGAACTTCCATTGTTGGAATTATTCTTAGTGAAAATCTGTAGAATAACAATATATTTTTAATTTTTTTAGAAAGCTTTCATTATTGAGAATTTCACACTCGCAAAGTTACTCTTAATGAAATTCCATCCCTTAAACAGTAACACAATCTGCTCGCATCCCTTTAAGCTTAGTTTGGAAGGACTATAAATGTAAATTTGTAGAGTGTAAAACCTTTTTTTTTATTTATTTTTTTATCAATAACACTTTCATTAAATCATCAATAGAAAATTTACAGGAGGAAGACAAACACACTTATCTTCCAAGAGCAACAAAGAGCCTCGTAAAAAGAAAAAAGAAGAAAAAGAGAAAAGAAGAAAAAAAAACCTTGTATTCTGTATTATTTTGTATGTATTTGCACTGTATATATTTGTATTTGTACTCCTTCCAAATTGAGCTTTTACAGTGACAGAATTGGCCTTCTAAAGAAACAGTAACCGAGTCTGCTCACATCTATATTCCGATGTATTTTTTTTTTTTTGTAAATCTGGGCCAAGTTTGGATCAGGCATCCGAGGCCAGATCTCCTCACACCGGGCGCCTCACACCGACATTACATGCACATCCTACCATATATTGGAAACATCTCCCGTACTTATAAGTTATTATTCACGAGAGATATTCCCAATGTATGGTGTTTGAGGCGCCCATGTGTTAGGAGCAGATCCCGTTTCCAGGCATCCACCATTGTTACCTGGGCCCAAGGCATACGAAATGGATTAAGAAAAAGAAAAGGGATGAAATGGGGTGAGAGAGGCTCGAACTCTCGACCTCAGGATCACTCTTAAGCTATGAGACCTACGCGCTAGCCAACTGCGCCACCACCCCTTTGATACTCATTACTACAAAAATTTGAACAGAAGGAAAAGAATAAGGGCAATGCAATGTTGAATTTAAAGTTTAGCACCTAATAAGATCGTTTGAATTCGAAGCAATGCAATATTGAATAAAACCCACCCTGAAACTTTCAAAAAAACACAGTTTTATTAGGGTTAGAAGACGGTTCAAATTTGAAGCAATGCAGTTTTGTTCCTTCATTTGAAACCAAAATGACATTTTTCAGACTGGATTGGATTTGATCCAACCCGATCCAGTCCAATGTGATTCCATTAGAAATGGATTAGGTCTAATCCAATCCAATGAATATTTTGGACTGGTCCAATTCAATGTCTGGACCAAGTATTGGCTTAATCCAACTCAATCCAATATAAATTTATTATGGATGGACCAGGTCCAATCCAATCTAATAAATATTTTGGACCTGATTTACCCAATCCAATATGTTTTGTTGGTCCGTCCAATCCATCCAAATTGATTTTGGACTGGACGGGGTCCAATCCAAAACCGGTCCATTGAGACCCTTAGATGGGATTGCAATTTTTTGTTCTCATTTGCTACCATTTACCACCCTTACAAACCATAAAAATAAAAAGGAAAAGTAGGGAAATAGTGGTTGGATTTTCTATTTTGTGGACGTTATGGACTTAACCAGAGATCTCAGTCAACTTCAGATTGGGTTTCTTCACCTCATCCTTCGGCATGATTGCAGTCAGCATTCCATCTTCCATCACATCTCTCACTTGATCAACCTTTGCGTTTTTTATAACAAGAAGTTTGGAACCTCAGGAGCTTGCCACTACACCATTTGGTGCAATCCAAAGTATCGTTCTTCACCTCATTCTCACAGCTCTTCACATTGTTGATCTAGACGATCTTCCATCCTCAACCTCTACCTTAACCTCTTCCATCTTCGTCTCAGGCATGTTCGCCTTGAGCACGCGAGCTATCAAACTATGTGATTAAAAATTGCTGGGGAAGGGGAATCCCTCGAGCCAATCCCACATGTCCATGGAGAAGGGATCAAGGACGTTTGATTCATGACTGAAGATGCTCAGAGTGATCAACATTTTTACAATGAAACAAAGGTGGGTTTGATCGTAACTTCAGTGTTTCAATTAGAAAGATCATTATGTAGCTGTGCACTTTTTTTTTTTCCTAATCTACAGTGGAAGTTTTGTTACCGTAAAAAACAGAGGAGGTTTATATGATTGTCGGCAAACCCAGGCGAGGTTTTAATACAGGGATATATATATTATCTAAAACTCACTATAACTTTTTTATGTTTCTCTTAAACTCCCTATCATTCATCTACGGTTAAATCCTAAATGATTTTATCAAATTCCCCGTATTACCCCTTCAAATTATAAACGATTTTATCATGTATGTCAGGAGTATTGTTCATCATCTTCTTCCTCATGACAAAAGATCCTCAAAAAAGAAAGGAAGGAAAAAAATAATAGTGAAATTAAGGTTTCCTGTCTTGCAATGGGCATTATATCTATAAGTCCGAGACATCTCATCTTTCCAATGGTTCTCCTTTGAATTCGAACATACGGGCTGGGGTGACAAAGATCCTAATTGTAGTAGAGATTTTAAGGTTTCGGAGATTTAGTTGCTTTTGATTTCAAAATAAAAGATCATAGTGGGCCAAGTTTTACATTTGTGGGTGTAGACATGTGAATTTCTAAGTAAAATAAATGGGCTTAATTTCCATGTTAGCCATTACAAGTTAATATGGACCTCCATGGGCCTATAGTCTAAGTCTATGGAACATGACCCTGTGGCGCAAGGATCCAAGTGTATTGAGTCCAATTAGGCCATGTCCTATTGTAATAGGGTGGCCCCATTGACAAGATCACAAACTCTTAGTCTCTTACATAATGGTGAATGCATTGGAGTTAACCCTAACCCAATATCCCACTTACATGGGATTGGTTAGCAAAGTGGGTTGAAGTGGCAAACCTAATCCTAGGCTACAAATAGCCTTGCCTAGAGAGAAAGAGGTTGCTCCTTCCCTTTTACACACTCACATTGCAAGAAACTCTCACACACCAACATTTGAGGATTGCAATCAACCACAATCTTTTGCAAACTCTAACAATTTCAAGATCAAAAGAGAAGAAAGATAAAGCCACGACAAATGGGCCCTTCTTAGAAGGGTCAGTTTTTTAGGGTTTTTTTTTTTTTTCAATCTAGTTCAGAAGGGTCAGTTTAAGGCTCCTCTACCCTTTGAACCAGGGTCTGACCCGAACCTCCCCTTGTAGGTGTGTATCGGGAAGCCCCCGATATGGGCCGATACGTTGTGACTTTTTGATCCTTGCTTCTAACTATTAGGATCCATTTGGTTTGCCAAAATAGGGGTCTGAAATTGGAATCAAATGGATCCGATTTAAACTGTTTGATTGGACAAAATTAGAATCTGATTCCCTTGCCTGGTGAAATAACATTGGGGAATGACCATTCCCTCCCCCTTCATCGGAAATGAGAATCCATTCTAGTCAATTCTGATTCCAGTCTGAATGTCAGCCAATTGGTTGGTAAGGTCTCCTACTAGTCGTAGTGGAGACTTGGGATTGAATCCCGCCGGAACCTTTGTTGGGGGGGTTATCAATTGGGGGATGAGCTACCCCTGTTGTGTAGCCCTTCAAAAAAACAAAAGAAAAAAGACAGGTGAGAGAATAGACTTCTGATTCTGATTCCGATTCCGACTATGAACCAAATGATCCTTGATCTTTATTTTATTTGGGGTTCCATCCATGCGGGTAGACAAACAGGTCAATTGTAAATATGCTAGTTGAAATGCTACTACACAACGAGTGATTTCTTCGCCCTACACATGTCTGGAGCAAATTTTCCAAGAGTTGCAAATTAAATATTTACTAGAATTTCACGGAAAATTAGATTTGGGTATCTAGGTCCACCATGGTAGACGAACTCAGACTCGACCAACACAGAATCTTTGCAATTAGTTATTAAGAAAATTGCTCATTGTCATTCCAAGAAACAGGCTGGTTGGTATAAAGCAAAAGGAAAACAAAGAGAATGCACTTACAGTACAGGATTTAAATGTCTCTTATATGGGAGATCTAGAGAACACATTGAATCAATGAGCCGGACTAGATGTATTATGATACACTTCACCACCCAACTCATTTGGCTCTATTCGCTTCCAGTAATCTTTTTCTTCAATGCTTCAATGTCAGTAGCTAGTTCCTTTCTGCTTGACTGAATAATTCAGGCATATTAGTTAATAACATTTGGTTTGTATAAGTAAATTTATGTGTCATTTATCTTGAACATAGAAAAATAATATTTATCAATTGCCAAGGTCGGCAGTTGACTCTAATGTCAGTAATCCTTAGCCATTGTCCAAAAGCCATACTAATGGCATCTACAGTTTTTCCACTCCATGTTAATATGGTAATTCTCATCTGACTTGGGTATAGGGTATAAAAAAGAAATTCTTAGAGCTAGCAAAATTTGCCACTAAATGCATATCAAAGCAGTAAATGAAAGAATGCCTTTTCCCATATCACTACTTAATTAGGAACATGGATCATATTGGGAGATAATTCTGATTACATAATCTGTAAGTTTACTAGTCTTTCAGATTTTACCTTGAAGAGGAGGTATCGGTAGACAAACCAACCGGTGTATCCAAGCCCTACTAATTCCATGATCTTTGGAAGCTGGCAAGAGAACAAGAAAAGATTTCAGCATAATTCATTTAGGGGGCGTTCTTTTTTCAGATTTTGAGAGGGGGAAAGTTGGTCAATGGGATTTTGGTTTCCATTGACCAAGAATCCCTTGTCCTTTTTTCAGATTTATGTGGGAAAGTTCATTTTCCTAGGTATCACTTATCCGGGTAAGTGATACCCATCTCCTAGGTGGGTAAATAACTTTCCCACCTAGGGGGAAAGTTGCCAACACTTGAATGGGACAAAAATGCCCATTTTAATAATGGACTTTTATGGCTAAAATGGTCATTGCCTTATTTACATGAGAAATAAAAGAACATGGGTAAATGCACTTACCCAGGTAAGTGTTTCCCAGGAAAAACTTACCTAGGTAACTGCATTTACCCGGGTAAGTAACTTACCGAAAAATGAACAGGGCCTAAGTTATCTTATGCTTTCTGTGGTGATTGGTGAAGATAAATGAATACTTTGTTCATCTGTTTTTCACTTGTGGTGTTTCTAACTCTTAGACCCCATTCACTTTTCGGTAAGTTACTTACCCAGATAAATGCAGTTTACCTGGGTAAGTTTTTTCCTGGAAAACACTTACTTGGGTAAGTGCATTTACCTATGTTCTTTGATTTCTCATGTAAATAAGGCAATGGCCATTTTAGCCATAAAAATCCATTATTAAAATGGGCATTTTTGTCCCATTCAAGTGTTGGTAACTTTCTCCTTAGGTGGAAAAGTTATTTACCCACCTAGGAGATGGATATCCCTTATCCCCACATAAACCTGAAAAAAGAATGTGGGATTCTTGGTCAATGGAAATCAAAATCCCATTGACCAACTTTCCCCCTCTCAAAAATCCAAAAAAAGAACGCCCCCTTAGTGATGCAGAGGCCAAAAAGTAATGTAACACTTCATTTTAATTAGAAAACCAGAAAGATCACATACCAAAGGAACCGAATTAATGGCACCAACCACAACTGAAGATAGCCAAACTGCTACTATTGCCCCACCTCCATAAAGTAGTACTGTAGACTTATTTTCGACTGCATCCCACTTTAAATGGCAAGAAAAAAGCACACGTATAGTCAAGTCATCGTCATCATCATCATTTAAACCTTATCCCGACTATATGGGGTTGATTACATGAATCCTATTTCACCACTGTGTTCTTTTTTTTTATCGATATTTCACCATTCTGTTCTGTTTAATGCAAGGTGGTTAGGTGTTGGAAAGGTGAGGTATAAGCCTCAAAGTAATATGCACATTTAATATATATTATATAATTTTTTTATGTATGTTAGAATGGTTTATTTCTTTCATAGAAAATTTATATATTTACTTCCATATACTTTCTAATCTGGAGCCTACATATTTGAAATTTTATATTTTATTTTGTTCCATGGTTATGGCCTTCCTTACCTAAATAAAATAATCCATTTACTTTGCATATTACTAGATTATTCATATATCTATTTGCTCCGTGGGGTTACACAACAGGGGGTGTAGCCCATCCCCTAAACCCATAACCCCCCAACCCTGGTGCAGGTGGAATTTGATCCCAAGTCTGCTACAACCAGCCCAAGGTTCTAAATATTGATACTGGCTGAATGCCAGATGGGGCATATTGGTCTGTATCTTTGGCGGCCTTTCATATTTTTTTAGTTTTTTTTACAAGTTGGTTCATGGGAGTTGGTTTAAGGCCTGTCTACCCTGTGAAGCAGGCCAAACCCCGAAACACTCACCGGAGGGTCACCTATACAATACGCATCAGCTGATGCCCCCATTTCTACCTAAATTAAAATTTTTTTAAATGAATACTTTTCATTATATACAATTCCTTTATTGGAACTAGATGGCTTGTAAGTAATTGAGAGTGGATAAAAGTTATTTGACAATTTTGTTCAATTTTTGGTATATTATTACTTTTATTTTATTTACTTTCATTAAAGAAAAACCAGAATTATTATTTTATGTTTGCAATCGGTGGATCCCATTGTCATGTATCATGGGTGTATAAATGGAGATAGGGATGGACCCTGAAAGTCCAATTCCCAATCCAACATCCAATTCTACTATTTTGGATTCGGATGTTATAGGCTATATTGCTTAATAATTGGATCAGATGAGGATTTAACCCCATCCAATCCAATTAAGATTCAAGACCAATTAAATTTTATAACTAAAAACTAATAAATTCAATATTCCATATTTATATAAATTAATTATATATAAGTTACAAAGACATTAACTTTTTTAAAATTTTCTTCATTTTAAAGGCAGTAAAACAGACTTGGATTAAATATGAAACCAATCCAAGCAAGAAAGGATCAAAATCTGATCCGAGATCCCTAGATCTGATTCATTTTCAGGTTGGATTTGAATTTGGGTTGATATGATACAAATCTGACCCAATTAAAGCTCTAAATGGAGATGCTTGTATCACATGTGGTACATTAAACTGATACTTTTGGGTTGAGAGAGATATTTGAAGTTATATTCTTTTATTTTATTTATAACCAACTAGATAATCAAGTTTTCTTGAGTTCTAAGGAGTATTATAATTTGCTATATTTTAAATTCTTCACTTTTTTTTTTTTTTTTTTAATTTTAATGTTGATGCCTCATCAAACGCGAAGCTGTAGCCTCTTGTCACAGTAATAAGGAGCTTGAGGCTAGGCATTTTGGCTCCATCTCACCCAAGGTTCAAAATTTGGATACGTATTGGGCCGTATCAGCCAATACATACCGTATCAGTGGCTTCCCAATACACTCCTATAGTGGGTGTTTTGGGGTCTGACCTGGTTCAGGGGGTAGACAGAAAAAAACGAGCTAAGATACAGGCCAATACGCCCCAACTGGCATATCGGCCTGTATCAATATTTTGAACCTTGATCTCACCTCGAGGCATATGCCTCAACACCTCGCCTCAAAGCCTTTTAAAACCATGATCAAGTAATGAATAAATCAGTAGGGAAAAGGTGGGTCACATGTCACTAAGCTGTCAGACCCTATAAACAGTTTTCCCAACACCACAAGATCAAATGTGAATCAAAGGCCATGTCATGTCTAGACATGTGACTAATGGAATCTGATCATCCATACAGGCTTTATTTTAACTCAATGGTACAGAGATCAAGATAGTTGCACCACCCACCTTCTCCTTCAAGTCTGTGAATACCTCTCCAACTTCAACCGAACCAGATGTTTCTTCTGAGGAAGAAGCTCTGACCTGAAGTGAAGTAAGCCTGTGATTCTCTGTTTCATAAGGAATCCCAAAATTCAGTTTCCTTTGTTTGCTAAACCAAAGAAGATGCAATGTAATGATAAATTGTTGGTTCTATGTTTCATCAACATTTGATTTGTATTTATTTATCTTTTTGAATGTATCCAGATTTTAAGATATACATAGAACAAAGACACAATAACAATAAGACAAGACAATCCCAAATTAATACCCTCTGGTCATGGAAAAGTTCCAGTTTAGCTACCTTGATTAATCTAAAAACACTGTAGAGAAATAAGTGCTCTCTCTGTTTTTTAAACATATACTATGGGGAACCCTAGATAAGCCTGCCATTCTCTGTTTCAAAAAGATTCCAAAAAGTAATACACCTATGGTTTTAGGATCTCATGGAAGTTCAGTTCCTTTTCTTTTCCGAAGCGAAGGATGTTCAATATAATGACAAATTGTTGGTTCTATTTTTTTTATCAGCACTGCTGGTTCTATGTTTCAACATTTGATTTTCTATTAATTCTTTTAAATATCTCCAGGTTCTAAGATATACATGGCACAAAACCACCACCACCTCAACAACAACAATACAAGAAAATGATGAATAAATGCCCCTTGGTCATTCTCATGGATGAAGATACAGTATTCCAGAAGTTCCAGTTTAGCTTACTTGATTAATCCAAATATTGTAGACAAAATAAATGATTCCTCTGCCTCCAAAGCAATGAAAAGATTGGACTTAGAAGTCGAATGATGAACCCATACACGATGGTAAGCCTAATATGACACAAGAAAAACTGAATACCATGCTAGTGAGTTCCCGTACATTCTATGAAGGAACTGCTGGGTAATGCCAATTTCTGAGGCATTTTCTCCAAGCTTTGGAAATCAGCTGGGTAATGCCAATTTCTGTGAAGGATCTGCTGTTGTGTTGGCAGATTGACGGTCTCAGCAAGAAAGGTATCTTGGTTTGGAAGACTATCCCGGCTGCTGTGCTTTGGACTATCTGGATTGAAAGAAATAACAGAATTTTTCAGGGCAAATCTAAATCTTCAGAGGAAATGGTGTAGATAGCTGTGGGTAAACTTTTGTCCTGGGTGTCGGCATCGGAGTTGTTTAAAAATCAGAATTTGAGTGAAATGAGTGTGTATAAATTTTGAGGTGTCGGCATCAGATCTTAATTGCGAATGAGTGTGTGGAGGAAATGAAAAGGTCTAGTAAGAAAGGATTCATTTGTAAATTGGATCTTGAAAAGGCCTATGATTTGGTGGACTGGAAGTTTCTATTGGAGGTTATGCAAAACTGTGGACTTGGRGACAAGTGGTGTAGTTGGATCTTTGGGTGTATCAGTACTTGTCACTACTCTATTCTGGTAAATGGTACGGTGAGAGACTTCTTTCCAGCTTGCAGGGGAGTCAGGCAAGGGGATCCACTTTCACCCTTCCTTTTTACCTTAGTAGCTGATGTGATTAGTAGGATCATTATTAAGGCTGACAGCGAATATGCCATTAGGGGTTGGAGAATAGGGAGACACCAAGTCCCTATCACCCACCTTCAGTTTGCAGATGACCTAATGATTTTTTGTGAAGGAGGTAATAGTGAAAAGGTAGCAAACCTAAAGGAGATAATAAAAGGATTTGAAAGTGTCTCTAATTTGAGAATAAATCTAGAAAAGAGCTGCATAGCGGGTATAAATTTGGAGGTAGGGGAGGTTGAGGCTATTGCGGAGTGTCTTGAGTGTTCTACGTCTGCTTGGCCTATGTCATATTTAGGGCTTCCTTTAGGGGCAAATCCTAGGGAGAGTAGATTTTGGACCCYAGTGATAGAAAAGTTTGAGAAGAGATTAGCCTCATGGAAGAGGAACTATATCTCTTTAGGAGGGAGAATTACCCT